CACTGAGCAGAAATCCTTAAGAGCCGCTTAAGTACCTGCATGCATCCAAGAAATTACCACCCTAATTGAGTAAGTCATTGTCAATAAATATAATTAGGGTAAACTAGTTCCATGGGAATGTGCCGATGAAGCTGGTTCCACAATTAAACCTTCCCAATTAGGTGCAGGGTGCTGTGTTTGAAAGCTTCTCTGTGCACTCATTGCACGAGGAAGGAGTGTGCATACGCTCTTTGTAGAAAGAAAAATAAAATGTCCAAAAATCAAAGGCATGAGGGGAAATAGCTGGAAACTCTCTACTGATGTGTGGGTTGTTTTTTTTAAATTACAAATAAATGTCATCTGTAAAATGTAATTAAACCCTCCTGTAAGCTCTGCAGTATGTTGGGTCCTTTGAGGGGATATACACTTTTATCTAGTACATCTCTAGCAACGCTGGCAACTGTCATTCAAAAACAAGAAAACATTCTGGGTATATGAGAGCCATGGATGAGGCAGTGAGAGTCCTTTCTGTATTGTGTTAAGGAGGCCTCTTTAAAATCTGTTCTCTCTCTTTGCTACAGGAGATATTCTTGTCTTGCATCCATCTCTTGTGGAATACCAGAGTCGTCCTAGATATTCCTGTGCTGGAGCTGTTCTAACAGTACCCACGCTGGGTTTCTCCCCAATCTGTTAGGAAGAATTAGAGGCCAGTATTGTGTATGGGGATGGGGGAGAGGAAAGGGACTGAAAGTCATAGCCCCTAAAAATGATAGTGTGGGTGTTAGTCTCGGAACAGAATGGACTGAGCTGTTGCACCCTCACCCAGCTATTTGCCAACAGACACATGTAGCTGTTCCCAAAATTATTCCTTCCCCAACTTCAGAATGTGGGAGGGAGCAGCTGCAGTTGCTTCTCTCCATGTCTCTGGGTGTTTGTTCCTCTCCTTGTTTCTTTACATAGGGCTGTTACCCCATGTCTGTCTGGTTCGTGCCATGTGCTCTCCTATGGAAACATTTCACTCCCGGAGCTGCTGTAGTATTTCTCCATGGGGAAGGCACTGAAATGCAAGATGTACTTTTCATTCCCTGCGCCGGCTGCACATCATTTGGAGCATGGGGCAACAAACGAGGCAAATTCTCAGCCAAATCAAAAGAGGTGGAATGCAGCTTCGTCTCAGTCCCACACGCGGTTCACAGCTGCACCTCTGACAGCACGACGTTTTCTTCTGCCTGCCCCATACAGGGTCCACGTGCTTCTGGGTCTCAAATGTTCCATGATGCTTTCCAGTTAGACGCTGGAAGAAAACAGCAGCAGAACTTCAGGAATTCTATTTGGGAAGCAGCCTGCAGTCCTCTGTTGCTGTGCAGAGAGCCTTTTGTTAATGAGGATGTGTGTGGTTTGTCGGGGAGGGAGACAGACAGGCACTCTGATGTATATAATAAATGTCTGTCTCTTTCTCTGCTCTTGCCCCATTGATCCAGCAGAGAGCTATAGCTGTCCTGGTCCCCATCTCTGGCTCCTTACTGCCCCCTGTGGCCATTCTACAGTATAACTATTCCTGCTACCAGCACCCCTCCCTTTCTGTTTTATGAGAAATAATTGAATTCCAGGCACATCCTATTGTCCTGGCACAACCAAAACCTGACCTGGGTTTAATTTGAGAAGAGGAATCTGCATACCGAATTTGGTGGTCCTAGCTTTTATCTAGTTTAGGAGGCGTTCTTAAACAGGCTCATGGATGGATGAACGCAGATTTCTAAAATAAATAGTAAGATATATTTATGCTCACTGCACCTCTGTGTGGCAGTACAGTGATACTGTCCCCCTCCCCCCCATTACAGAGGGGGACCTAAGTCTAGGGATATAAGCGACTAGTCGCTTCCTTCCCCCTTGCTGGGGGAGCAGGCTTAAAAGCTGGTTTCCTCTCCATCACCGTCTCTGCGGGGGGCAGGGGAGGCAGAGGGGTACGAGCACAGGGACCGGGCATGAGCCAGGCATCAACTGATTCCCAGCTTGTGCCCAGTCTCACACGCTGCCCCTCTGCTTTTTAAATGTATTAAGAGCCTGCCAGTTCTTAACACATTTAAAAGGCAGAGCTGCAGTGAGGTTAGCTCCTCGGGGCTTGGTGCTAACACTGCTGTGGCTCCCCCGCTTATTGACTAGTTGATAGAAATTCCATTGACTGGTCAATTAATTGATTAAGCTAAATTTAACATCCCTACCTTAGTCTTTGTGTCTAATTGACTTTCCTGAGGTCACCCAGAAAGTCTGTGGCAGATTATGGACTTCAACCAACGTTTCCCCTAGCTAAAGGCAGAGCCCTAACCACTAGGAAATCCTTCCTCTCAACTTTTGTGATCAGTATAAACATGTTCTCAGTTTCTGACTTTCAGAAACTGTTCCCAAACTAGCTCAGTGACCTTAGCCAAGTACAAATCTCATGCAAATAGTGTTCAGAAAAATGAGAATCTGAGAACAAGCTACAGCAGCAGAGGAGATCTAATATTGCAGTTTATAACTAGAACCCTGCAAATCATCAGAGATCCGCTTTCTATCTGCAGGATGTTGATGTGTTTATCTGCGACTCGTTTTTGTGAATACAGATGCGGATACACAATTTTGTATCTACACATGGCTGAACTTAAAATCTTGTGTCACATTCCAGATATAAGTGATCCCAATAGAGACTTTCAGTACTAAATGTATCCCAGGTTTTGATGTAATTTTCAAAGGAACACCGAGGTTTTAGCCAGGAAACAGATATAGCTGAGAAATTAGAAGACTAGCATATGCCATCTCTTAATATGCCATCTCTAGTAAGTGGAATTAAAGCACTAAAAGCAGAGTTCTTAAAGCACTAAAAGCAGAGTTCTGGTCCAGTTGAAATACATTGCAGAAACTTGCATGGATTCTAGTAGGATTGAGATTTAGCTGGGGTATGTGAGTAGGCAGGGCATTTCCTCCTGTTATTTCTAAAGGAAATATACACGGTGCTAACGGATATCCTTAGCTAGGTTTTCATGTTATCTGGGAAAAACAAGACTGCTGGAGAGGCACACAACTGAGAAAAGAGGGCAGCAACCCACTTATCTGTTGCTGGACTATTTCTCTTTTAAAGCATTTGGTAATGCTTCTTTCCCAGAGACTCTAATAGAAACCTGTAGCAGGCCAAATGCTTATGTGCTCGAGAAATGTACCACTACTCAATGTAAAGTACTTTTCACCTATTATGTACCAAATGCTTTAATAGTAGGGGTTCCAGGAAGTTTGTAACTTTGTCATGCAGTTGTAACCCAGATCAGTACAACTTGATTGTGGATTGCCTCTTCCATCCCAAGACATACAAGCTAATCCTCTCACTCCGCTTGCTAAGGTCAGAATGTAGGAAGCTGTGATGTACTGCTACAGATGGAGTAACCTCAGCTCATAGAGAATCTGGGGGGAATCTCTCTCCTTAGTATGGTTATGTAAGTTGAGTGAACACCTCTCTGTTGTACTAAGGCAGCAGTAGGATATTTTAGTAGAAAATAGAAAGTTGTTCATAGTTAGATGTTAAGATAACATATCTTTTACCTTCTTAACTTAATCGTCCAGACAAACTAATCTGTTCATGCGATCGAAGTGTTCGACTGAAACAGCCACATGGGTTAATTGATTTCTTTGTTTTATTGATGCCTATTGGGGTTGTAGCTGTCTGTGAAAGTTACTGCTTGGTAATATTAACAAGCAATCCAATTGGATTAGATTTTTTTTCTTGGAATGGATCAGTGGCTTAGAAAGTACCTAAGGGCAGATTGCTGGTTTACTGCTATTCTCCTGAGATGTGTGGGGGAAGGGGAAAGCAGGGTGAAAATACATTTTTTTGCTTCTCACCAACACTGAGCTAGAACAAGCTTTTTGTACCGGCTTCTGTTTCCCCTAAACAGAAATAATTTAGGAGTGGATGGTGTATTGTGCAGCCCCATTAACGCGGGTCTGAGGTTCTCATTAAGAAAAAGCACTCAGAGCCATGCAGTTAGATAAAACATGGACTCAAAAACTGATTGCAGTGCATTGGCAAAAGACACGAGAAAGGAAACGTAACTAGCTGGCATGACAGCTGCAGCGTCCAGGCTTACTTTATCTCTGACTTCCTGTCCTTGTCCACAAATTCGGAAGGCATTTTCTCTCGCACTTGAACAATCCTAAATGCTGTAGGCTGCACTCTTGTCTGGCGAGGTCCTGCCCTCCACATCTGCACTCACAATGCGGGGTGCAGTTTACACCACCTGGACGCTGAAGTGCCTTATTTGTGGGTACAGTCATGTATTTCAGCATCTAAATCATATAAGTGGTATCTGCAGTTTCGTGGGTGCAAAGATGGGGGGGGAGGGAGGTGGCTGTTCAAGTATTAGGGCTGCACTCCCTCCCCAAGAATATTTCTGAAAAATATTCAGTCTCATTAGCTGAAAATGGGCAGATGAGCACCTTAGCAGCACCTTTCCAGCTGACATGCTGGTTCAGACCACCCCCTGCAAAATTAAAGTTGTTGTTGGTGTGTGTGTGTTTGAAACTTATATTCCAGGTAGTTGAGGTACTAAGTATAATGAAATGTATGTGTGTGCGCACGCTTGTATGAGGCTTCAGCTCTGTCTCAAGTCTGCAAATAACACAACACACTCCAAAACAAAGGTTACAGAATGGCCTACTGTCCACAAATGGAGGATTTCAAGTGTGTGGGCTGTAGCATGCACATTATGCTGTGTCTCTGCTCTTCAGTGGGGAAGAGGTGAAGCAGGGAACGTCACTAAATGTGTGTGCCCTAAGATGTTGCTGCTTTTGCTGGCCACCACATGGGGGGAGGGAATCTCTGTCCATAGACGATGATCAGTCTTTAGCGCCTGCCCTCTCTGCCAAACAAAAACCCAACAATCCTTGCTTTGAAGGGGAGTAATATCTGGTGAATTTATGCCAGGAATCAAACTGGTATCTCTGGTGCTAACTTTGGTTTCTCTTCTCCACCTACCACCTTCTGCTTTCAGGTTTTGTTGCCAGCTGCCAGCTTACTGCAGTTAATGGACGTCAGACAAAACTGCTGTGATTTTCTGCAGTCCCAACTGCACCCTACAAATTGCCTTGGGATCCGGGCCTTTGCCGATGTGCACACGTGCACTGAACTTTTGCAGCAGGCCAATGCCTATGCAGGTGAGCAAAGCGTCTTGGCTTATCCCAACTCCTTGAAGAGTTGGTTCCTAAGTATAAAGGGCATTGGGGGATGATGCCAACACATCCTTTACCAATTTGTTCTTTAATGTTACCAAAGAATATGCAGTGGGCTTCTTTGTTGGATGCTGTGGGGCACCGAAATGTGATGTTGCTGCAAAAAGAGGAGCCCCTTGGAATGATGGGGGCTTTGGAGGTGAAGTGAAGGACTTGAGATTAATTTGTTTTGTATAATGCAAACAGGTGTTAGGTGAATTAGTTCTTTTATGTATTTGTAAAGCAGTAGCAGAAATACAGCTTATTTATCTTGGGGGGAGGGGGGAACGCACACAGAAAAGGGGCTGAATAGCTTGTCTGTTTGTCTAATCACATTTCTTTCTCCCCTTTCTCTTCTGTGAGCCTGCCTTGGAAAGCACATGGTAGTGGGCTCAAGTGATTCATCCTTTGGGGATGTATGTTACTGTGAGTGATGAGGGGGAAGTGGCTCGCATACTTTTCTCCAGTGTTTTCCATAGGTTGATTGAGAAGCATGTCTGGTAGGGGTGTGAAGAACAAGTACTTAATCACCCTTACTGGGTGATGCTTACCAAGTACTGGTTAACCAGTGCCCGGCAGCAGCCTGCAGTCCCACTGGGTCCCTGTGCGGGGCCAGGAACGGGAGCTCTGCAGGTTGGGGGCTGCTTCAGCCAGGCTGGAGCAGTCCCCCTCACAGGATCCCGCTTAGTTAGTTAACCAGATGAACATTAGGTTAACCAAACCTTTAACTGGTTACTTGAGTAAATGGGATTTTACATCCCTAGTGTCTTCTCATCTTAGATGTTCCAGTATCTTGTCTTTCGGTCTCTCTGTGCCATACCTTATACATTGCCATTAAAAAAAGAGAACACACCCCTTAGTTCTCTCTCAATACATGTGGTCTATAGGTACAGTTTACAGTTAGGATGAGTAGTAATGGGTCTCTCTTAATACATGTGGTCTATAGGTACAGTTTACAGTTAGGATGAGTAGTAATGGGGCATAGATGTTAGGGATGTAAAGGAGTAGTCAACTACCCAATAAGCCTAGGCTTCTCAAGTAGTCAAGACAACTACTTGCATCTTCCCTACCCCCTTGCTGCTTCTGTATCAGAGGCAGCAAGGTGGGGGGAAGCAGGAGCCAGTGCTGGGGAGAGCCAAGATGGTTCCCGTCAGTACCATTTCTGTAGTGTTGCCCATCTCCCCCCCCAACCCCACCCCGCTGCTGCCTTTATCAGAGGCGGTGGGGGGCAGGGGCTGCTGTGGCAAAGCAGCCAGTCCTTGGCAACCCGGCTGCAGGCAGGGGCTGCTTCCTCTCCCCACTGGGAACCCTGCGCACAGGGGCCGCTGCCAGCTGGACAGACAGCCTTGCTCAGTTCTGGCTCGCACCGAGTGTGGGATAAAACCCCACTCTGGCTCTGCAATTTCAAACACAGTAGGAGCCAGGGGCGGGCTGTCCAGCTCCTAATGCCTTTTTAAATTGCAGAGCCGCAGCAGGGTTTAGTCCCATACCCAGTTTGTGCCTATTGACTAATCAAGTAGTCGATAAAAAATTCTATCGACTACTTGATTAGTTACCCGCATTTTAACATCCCTAGTAGAGATGGTGGGGAGGTTGGTTTCTTTATTTATAGTGGGAGACGTTCTTAGGCAGTAACTTTTCATTGACCACAATGGGCAACTGTGAATTTACCTGGAATTCCTTTTTGCTGCAAATCTTTTACTGGCAGCATGACCCCAAATCTGTCTAGCCATGTTGGGCAACGTGTGATCTTCCAAGGACTCTCTTTTTAATGGGACCAAGCCATGAGGAGGCTGCGTATCTGTACAGTTAAAAGTTAAGCCCGGATGCAAAGTGCTCAATGGCTGAGAACATTGTCTGCATAAATGGGAGTCAGTCTGATTACAAAGTGCCTGTTACAGTTTGCAGGTGTCCAATAGAACACTGTCTCTCCCAAAGCCTCCCTGACTGGGGTGAGTTCCGATATATCACAAGGTGCCATATGTTAATGTCCAGGCTCTGGGTAATGCCCAGTGTCGTTCATCTCCAAGATTTGTAATAGTAGACCTTGGATGGGAAGGTTGCTACTACTAGTAACCCTGCCAATGGCTACAGCTGTGCTGTTCAGAGCCCGCCAAGCTCTGTCTCAGACAGTCATTCTCTTCCAGCTCAGCTAACTTTAACTTAAATGATTCTAGTACACACCAGGTGCTGTTTTGGTGGCCTTGGATGGGGGAATGCAAGCTGCCTTGCTTTATTCACAGCTCTTTGACTTAGATAACTCAGCCCTGTCAGTCATGTTGAGGGAGCGGTCTGTGTTCCTCTTGTTTGGCAGCTGATATCCAGCAGCTACTGCTACCCTGCACTAACAAGTCTGAGGGGTAACCATGTTAGTCTGTAATGGTAAAAACAACGAGCAGTCTTGTGGCACCTTGGCGGTTAACAGGGTGCCACAGGATGCCACAGGATTGCTTGTTGTGTTTAACCTGCACTAGTTTGTGCATTGTAGAAGCAGTTGTCTAGCCAAAAACAGTCTGAGGGTCAGATCCTAAGCTCATGTAGATTGTCATTGCTCCATTGACCTTAATGGAACTATGACAGCTCGCAGAAGCTGAAGAGTTGCCCCTTAACTTTAAGGGGTGACTTAATTGGATGATAATCTATCACATACTGCCAGTTTCTTGATGATGTGTAGTTATGCTTGATGATGTCTGCTTGCTTTTCTGCTTATTTGCATTGTCTAGGACAGGGGTTCTCAAACTTGTGATATTGCTACCTCCCTCTCCATTGCTGCAGCCACCCTCTCAGTTGCTCGTGGTCCCTCTCGGGGGGTCGGGACCCACAGTTTGAGAAACGCTGGTCTAGGGGATTTATTCCTGTAGTTGTTAGATGATGCCTAAGGCAGAGAGCCAGGTGGGGCCGAGTGAGAATTTTTTATGCTCTTAATTTCTCCAGACCCTCTTTTCTCTCTCAGATTTACCTTTGAGCTTTTTCCTGCTGTGCTGTGCTTTGTGTAGGCAAAGCTGTCCTATTCTACAAGTCCTTCCCCAGTCTGGTTCCACTCGTGCTGCTGCTTCTCTGCTACATTTTGCCCAGCATTTATGGTTTTTAATCATATAATGAGTAGGCTCTTCCACAAAAAAAAATAATAATAATAATTAGCATGACTACCAAGTTCTCCTGCATTCTCTCTCAAAACCAGATAAAACCTTTCAGCCTCTCTTGTTGTGTTATCCCAGGAGAAAAACAGTACTCTGATAGGAATGGCCCATTGTATGAGGGTTTGCTTGTAATACCTCATTATACTTGCTTCCAGGGCCCTGTTTAATCTTTAACCTAACACGCAGTGCATTCAGTGCATATTTATTTGGTTGTTTGGCAATTAGAAGGCCTGCTTTTGTTGCTTTATTGGCTTTCATGAGTCCTTGTTAATACAATTGCCTATGTAATGTTAATGAAACTCCATTAATAAAAATGCCATTAAAATTCTTGGAGTTGATTGTGTAACAGCATTAAGCTGAGCCAGAAATCTGAGAGACCCCTCAAGGATTTTGAGAGCACAGTTTTTTTGAAAATGCCTAGTTTAAAAGCTTAATTTTAAACAATGGATAATGTTGGCAGGTGAAGTAGCTTTCTTTCTATGAAAGAGCATAGTCAGTTAAATGTGTGAAATCAGAATGGATTTTACTTGCCTGTCACAAATAGCATGGAATGAAATATTCATTTTCTACTGCCCAGTCCCTATACTGCCTGGGCATTATTCAGAGCAGAGAGCACATGCATTATGCTGGATGGAGTCTTGTGTCAAATCAAGAGAGCTGTCTGCTGGCAAGCATAGGCACAAACCTTCAGCGCCTGATTCTCATTTACACTAAAGCCATTTGTGTGAAGGCGGGTGCCAGTTGTAATGAACCCCACTCTTATGCAGCCAGATATAAAGCATCAGAGGGAATCGGGCCCATTAATTCCCAAGATCAGCCAGAGCATTTGCCCCCTTAGCTGGAGTCATAGTCCTTTGTGATGGCCATTTCCGAGAGGATGGCAAAAGTAGGGAGAGCAGAAAGGGAGGAAATGTGAGGGGAGGTATTGCTGCCTGTTTACTGTCTGTAAACTCACGCGGTGGCACCTGCTGCTGGTCACCTTGGGAATTAGCTCTTCAGTGTCAGAGTGCCTTCTGCTGGCTGGTGCCTTGCTCTCCGCTACCTGTCTCCTGCACTCATGTCCTCCCTTCCCAGGGAACCCCAGTTTTCTATACCTATCTTGCCTTAGTGACTCACTGCCTGTCGCCATCTAGCCTTTGCCTCAGGGGCAAACTGCCATCTGAAATGGCCATGATCATTAGCAAAGGTTGTGGGCCTGCTGCCTTTGCCTGCCCTGGCTGCCTCCCTGCAGCTCTGGGACCCTCAGGCCTAGAGAGCAGGGCCTCAGTCTGGGAGTTTGCCTGGCCAGAGCTCCCCAGCTCTGCCTGCCTTCCCCAGCCCTGCTGTGTCCCAGGAAGCATAAGAACAGCCGTACTGGGTCAGACCAAAGGTCCATCCAGCCCAGTATCCTGCCTGCTGACAGTGGCCAATGCCAGGTGTCCCAGAGGGAGTGAATCGAACAGGTAATGATCAAGCAATTTTTCTCCACCCTCTGACAAACAGAGGCTAGGGACACCATTCCTTACCCATACTGGCTAATAGCCATTAATGGACTTAACCTCCATGAATTTATCTAGTTCTCTGTTATAGTCCTAGCCTTCACAACCTCCTCAGGCAAGGAGTTCCACAGATTGACTATGCGATGTGTGAAGAAGAACTCTGTAGCTTTCCTGGCAGCCAGGTCCCTCGTGCTCCACAGCTGGAGCAAGAGCAAGTGAGTTTTCTCTCAGGAGCCCTTATTTTATGCAGCCCTTAGCTGAGTCCTAATTGGCTGATACCTGCCACAGCTGCTGGCTACGCCGGCCAAACCCTCTCCCAGGGCTGGATTTAACCTTGTTATGGCCAATGTGGGGAGATGCCCCATCACACGGTCACTATCGTTTAACCACGTGGCACCACGAGAGCCGTACAGAGCAGAGCGCAAGATGTGGCCCTTGCCGGGCTCACCGTGGCGCTCAAGGCTGGATTACTTGGTGCTGAAAAGATTGGGCCTTGGAAGTCACTGCTTCAAAGGGAATCGCAAGACTAAGATTCTTGTCCCCACATTTAGCTAAACGAATGGGTCTGGGCAAGCAATAGCCGCGGGGACATACACCCCAGTACTGCCAGCACCAGTCTTCTTGTTGAAGTGATTCAAGTCAATGCCAGGGTTGGGGTTTTTTGTTTAATAACTGGCAATATTCAGAACCTCCATCTTATATCTCACCTGAAAGCAAGCAGCACAGCATCCCTTGCCACAACACTGCCTTATTGACTCCGTGTCCCCAACATACTTCCTGCCTCATTCTGTGGTTTTCCTTGTGGGGTCTCTTCTCCAAGTACTGAACAAATTGAATGCTGCTTAGCTTGCGAGAGCAGACCAGGATCACAGCTAGCAATGGCATAGTTGTTGGTTACCTGTTGGTCTGGAAAGGAGCTTTTCTTTCTGAATTGCCATTGGAGAAAGCAATCGAGCAGGGCTACATTGTTTTATTTGTGCTGTTTTATGATTTATTGCATTTAGTGAATGAGTCTCTGGGGCTGCATAGATGTTATTTCAAATATCATTCCGTTTATTTAACCTGCTCTGAGATTTTTTTTCTATTCTACTTATTTTGATTCTACTGAAATCATGTTTGTATGGAGGGGGCTGGCTGTAAGAGTAACTATTCTCTGCACACTGTAGTCCTTACATTGGCTGAAACCACGAATTTCATTATAATTTTCCATTCCCACCTTTGATTTTTTGAACAGAGCAGCACTTTCCCGAGGTGATGCTAGGAGAAGAATTTCTTAGCCTTACTCTGGACCAGGTTTGCAGTTTAATATCCAGTGACAAGCTCACTGTCTCTTCAGAAGAAAAGGTACTGTAACTTACATAGTAACAGAATCTGTTCAGGAATGTTTTGAGTTTTTAGATATATTATTGGTAACTGGTCGCATGGTGTGCTGTTTTGGAGCTCTTTTTCCAGCAGTTCAACACATTTAAAAAAAGAGGAAATTTATAACTAATAAGAAACCTAGAGTCCTATCAACATTTCTGTCAGTTTTCTCTACGTAAGGCCTTTACTATAAAATCCTACATTTTGTCCATCTAATCCCAAGGTAAATGGCAAATTCTGTTTCTTTTTGGAAAACAGGAATCTCCTCTTTCCACAGGTGTAAAACTTCTCTTCTAGGGTCAAAGCATCACAAGAGATCAGACCTTTAGCCTTTCACTGGCCTAGGAAGAGATGTTGCATATTCTGTAATTCAGATCTGGATAATTTGAGGAGGAGAGGTCTGTGATTAGGAGGAAATAAGGAAACGCTTTAAAAAAAAAAAAAAAAGGCTGGTGCCATTTGGAAATTTAGAAGGTCAGGTACCCTATACTCTTGGTCAAGTGCAGATGAGAGCTCTAGGCAAAGAGGGCCCAATGGTTAGGGTACTACCTTGGATTTAGGAGAGATGGGTTCAGTGACTCCATCCACCGCAATCTTTCCTGTATTACTTTGAGCAAGTCCCTTTGGCCTTGTCTACACTACCACAGGCCATTGACCTAAGTTATACAACTTCAGCTATGTGACTAATATAGCTGAAGTTGACATACAACGGTGAGCAGACCTAAGTATCTCCACAGTGGTAAGTTGACCGCCGACACTCTCCTGTTGACTCCGCTTACTCGTCTCATTTTGGCGCAGTACCGGAGTCGATGAGAGAGTGCTTGACCGTCGATTTATGTGTCAGTACTAGACTAGGGATGTAAGCGATTAGTCGACTATCCAAAAAGCATAAGCTTATGAGATAGTCGACTAGTGACACAACAAGTCGCTTCCCCCCCATCTTGCTGTCTCTATCGGAGAGTGGCTGCAAGGGGGCGGGGAGCAGGAGCGGGTGCTGAGGGGAGCTGGCTTAAAAGGCTGGTTCTCCCCCCCTCTAACTCCCACGCCATCTCCATAGGGGAGGTAGAAGCATAGCGGTGGACCTGGTGCAAGCCTGGGATCAGCTTGTTTTCTGGCTCATGCCCGGTCCCCCCCCATTGTGCTTGTGCTTTTTAAATGTACTAAGAGCCACATTTAAAAGGCAGAGCTGCAGGGGGGGTTAGCTCTTGGGACTGGGAGCTAACTGGTGCAGCTCTGCAGTGTCCCTCCCCCCATCAAGTAATTGACTAGTAAATGGAAATTCCATCAACTAGCTGATTAAACACAATTTAACATCCCTATACTAGACGTGATAAATCAACCCCTGCTGCTCCAACCGCACCTAGCGAAGACGTGCCCTGAGCCCGTGTGCTTTAGCTCCACATCTTTGAAATGAGGATGATAGCCCTGTCCTATTTCATGGGAGTTGTGGGGATGAATACAGGCAGTCCCCGAGTTACGCGGATCCGCACTTACGAACGGGGCCCTCTCCCTGGTCTCCAGCAGACCAGGGAGAGGAAGCAAAGCGGCGGAACACGCGGGCAGCGGGCAGCCCAGACGCGTCTGGACTGTCCGCTGTCGGCGTGCTCCACGGCTTTGCTCTGCTTTGCTCCCCGTCCCCCTGGTCTGCGTGCTCCGCCGCTTTGCTTCCTCTCCCTGGTCTGCTGGAGACCAGGGAGACGGGCCCCGG